TTTTGTTTAAAAAGCTACTGTTATTGTAGCTAATTTTTATCTGCCTTCAGATACTTTCAATGGTCTTGTATTTCTTTGTTTACTTGCTTAAAATTAATTTAGGGTTTTTTTAGTTTTTTTTTCCCCTCTCAGGTCTTTTTAAGGACTTTCTTATGTTTCATGTTTTGTGAATGAAAGATTAAGTCACTCACCTTTAGTCCCTCGTGGGCCTCAGAACAACATGATGGGTTGTTGTGGTTTTTTGGAAGTTCCTGTAGCTTGGAAATGATCCAGTTGTCTGTAGCATAGGTGAAGAAGCTGAACAACTCAGCAGTTTTATGTATTGGTATCTCCTCGAGTAGGGCAAACTTCAATGTTTTGAGCTTCATTCCACATTTGTCGAAAAAATATCTTATGTACTTTGTCTGAATTCCTGAAATTTGAAACAATTCCATTTTGTTGATTTGATTATCTTTGATCCTTACTTAAAATGAAGATTTTTGGTGTTTTCCCTTGGGTTCACCACATCCTCTGTGGAAAGCAAAGAATAAACACCCCTCTGCCTGAAAAGTTACTAGCATGGTCTCTGGCTCAAGCCATCCAAGTGATTGTCTACAACATTGTGGATATGTTTGTCTTGCTTCTCTGGTTAAACTGATGCATGTCACGTGCTCAGTAGCAAATTGCCTGTGTGTGAACTCTAATGCTGCCACACATGCAAAGGAACTTGCCCTCTTTCATAAGAATTGGGCGCCATTGTACTGATAATAGGATAAATACATTCATGGATAATTTGCTTGGAAGAGCAAAGTGACTTGCTGCCAGGCAATTCTGCATTTGTTCCATATAGTCCAGGTAAGGGTTGGTTCAGTGGGGGTGGAAAGCACTTTGGTAATCAGAGGTGTATCAGGGAAGGGCTGGAGTGTAGGTCCTACAAGCTGGAACTATGACTAGAGTAGGGCTGACAGAGACCTGGGTGCTGAGTACCCACTTGGAACTCCTCTTAGGAGAAGTCCTAGGGGGATCAATTTAATGCTTGCAAGTAATTTGAAGCTCTTCCTCTGAATCTTACCTGAGATATATCATCTAGAGGCTCACTCCATACTTTAAGTTTTTTTGTTAAGTTTCAGGATGTACTTACAAATTTAGGAAGCAGTGGAAAGGGCACGAATTAAGTTTGTTGGTGGTTTTAGTCTCCAGACTAAAAGACAGAGAAGCTAACTGGAAGAGAGTTTCATGGGTAGAAGGACCTCAGAAATGTCACAGCTACTGGTAGTGCCTTGCTGGAAGGTAACTTCAAGCTTCTGGCAAAAGTTCTTTCTAAACTTAAAATTGATTGTGAAAGGAGCAAAAAACTTCTTCATTCACAGCCTAAACAAACCAATCTGTTAAATCATTCTGTCATTTTTATTTATAATTTGATTTATATCATTTAATATATTTTTATATAAAGCATAACTCTATCTTCTCGTCATATTTATATTTTATTTAATTATACATAAAATGATTACATAAGCTATAAATATAAACGATAAATATTATATGTAAGTATACAATATACACTTTTGATGTAAAAAATATGAATTAAAAAGGATAATTCTCTCTTCTCATAATTCTTATCCATAACAGTTTCAGTTTCTTTGGACTAGCATTCCAATTTGGCTTGCTTTTGTTTAAAGGGAAAAGAATCCCACTGCCAGATTTCTCAGTTGTAATGAGTCAATAAAATATTACATTAATGATATATTGATGGGGCTGGTGATGGACTGGGCTCATGTTTGGAAAGTAGTTCCAAACTTTTCTCCTGACATAGAAAGGAAGTCAACTTGATCTGCGTCATATAGTGGTCTCAGTTTGCTGAGCTGGTTACCTGGCAGTTAGAAAAATGCTGGGTATCCACTTGCATTGAGGACCTTGAATTATCTTTAGACTAGACTGCTGCTTTGAATCATTCTCAAAGAGATCTGCTTTGCTCTATTGACTGAGGGAATTAAGAGGATTAACTGGCTACGCCTCTTAATGTTATGTTAATGTTACATGCCTGAAACGGGATGGCATGTGTGGAGTAGTTCACACAGTTAGAATTTTCTCATGCTTTTGGGCATAAAACAGTGATTCAAGCAACGTTATTGTAAGTGTTTTTTCTACTAGAAATAAAATATAACAACTATTTTATGACCCTATGGAGTTGTATGTGGACATGCACACAACTTGGCATAATTGTTTTAGGTTGCTTTTTAAAACTGCAAATAGGCCAAATTCTTAGCAAATATTAACTGGCATAGTATCTTTGGTTTCAGTGGAGCTTATGTCAGTTTGAAGCACCTGAACATCTCTTCCAGGCTTTGGTAAAAGGCAACAGGAATTACGTACACTTGTTATTCCCTGTATGCACACACTCATATGTTTAGATTCAGCAGCCCTCTTGATCTGCTGCTTTTCCCCATGCAGACTCGGCACCTCCAAGCTGGAAAGGTCCTTGCATCGAAGGAGCCACCATTGGTGTCATGCTGCTGTCTCTCACCAAAGAGCACATGGATGGCCAGAAGGCTGCTGTTAAAGATCTCAGCCTCACTTTCCATAGAGGTCAGATAACAGCACTCTTGGGACCCAATGGAGCTGGCAAGACAACAGTTATGTAAGTCTGCCATTTAATGCAATTACACTCCCCTCTGATCTTTGCTATGCTTTCTCACTTAAAAATGTTTGTGAATTCTTTCCTATCTCTTTTTTTTTTTTTCCCCCAAATAAATATTTAATAAACTCCCCAAGTACATGGAAGGTGAAGGCTATATATCTATGACAAAAGCAATGTAATGAACGTAACTGCGTCCTCTGTGCTACTGAAACCATGATCAGCAGCGTAAGTGGGAGCTGGGCGTGTCTAGTTGTGCAGTTGAACACATCTCAGAAAAGTGTTCTTTTCTGGCATTGATGTGTTGTGCTAAAAGGGTGTTAGTTTTGTTTCTGTTTCATAGCCAGGGGCTCTAAGACAGCTGCTCAGCGTTTGCCTGTCTCGGATCATGCCAAGGGCTTTCCCTGGGACAGCATCGCAAAGCTGTAAAGATAAACGACTTTCTGTTTCAGACCCCCGCAAAGGACTTTCCCTGAGACAGTTAGCAAAGTTGAAAAGATAAAATGATTTATTGAAGCGACAGGTATAACAGATTCAGAATCGCGTTGAAAAATGCCCTAGCTGCCATAGGGCTCATATACTACAATAATGCTAGCAAAATAAATGAACAAATCAATAAATGAGTAAATGAATAGATCCTATCCTGGGTGTTCTTCACCAAGAGGTGAAGTGGAATGCTTACCAAGAAGGTGTCCCTGTCTTGGTAGAGGAAGAGGAGCACAGCCCATCGACTGTCCCTTCTAGGTCTCAAGTTTCTTTTCCCTCCGAGAGATCTCTCGATCGTGTGTGTATATGTCCAGGTACCCTCCATATTGCCCCTTATATCTTAACCCTGTCTGATCCCCTCCCTGGGGTGACATTTTAGCATGATTTGGGTGGCAAGTCGGGGGCTATAGTCATATGTGTTTAGTATGTTCTTCCTTTTGCTCGCTATCAGGCTTTGGGGTGTCAACTTTAATATTCATTTCATTGATAATTAAACAAAAGGTCTCACTCCAGGTGCCATGGCCTTCAAGATTCTGGGTTGAAGCTGTTTATCTGCTTATTCCTTCACTCCTGCTACTTTGAGCCCAAACAGGGCTTTCTGCAGTCACAAGCCTCCTTCCTTTGGTTGTTTTTCACACCAACGTGTCGACTCCCCACCCCCTACCCCCACCCCGACAGGGTTCACACAGGAGATAAGGGGTCATCAGCATTGTTTTCTGCCAAATTCCCACATTATCACATAGAGAGTGTGGAGTTTTATGGGGTTTTGTGCTTTGTTCCTATAGGCTGCAAGGGACTCCTTTCTTGCCAGTTGATCAGAAATGAAAATAACAAAATGAAAATGACATTTAAACATGTCTAAATTAAGAAGTCTATGCATTTCTACCTTTATGTTAGCTATGATCAGCTTTAATAAAATGGGTGATGTAGGATGGGACCCAAATGGAATTACTCTGTTACTCCTCAGCTAGAATACACACATGAAAAAGGAAACAATGGTCTGTTATACTTGGTTTGGAGAAAATGGATTTTGTTCTGGAAGTAAAGAAATGAAGGATTATTGAGATCTTGGGTTAAAAAAAAAAAAAAAAAGCCCAAAACATTAGCGATGGTTCTATAACTATGCTCAACTGAATTGGTTTTGCTCTGAGGATGGTAGGACGTGCCTCAGAGAATCCAAGTGTGAGCTACGTAATACAATCATTACACATGATCTTCCTGAAATACATTTTTTTCTTTTCTTGTATCAGATCACTATTGACTGGTCTGTATCCACCAAGCTCTGGTACCATCATAATTAATGGAAAGGACATACGTACTGATCTGGCTGCCATTAGGACAGAGCTGGGTGTTTGCCCACAGTATGATGTCCTGTTCAACATACTAACAGTACGAGAACATCTACTGCTTTATGGATCAGTGAAGGCACCCAGTTGGACAAAGGAAGAGTTGAATCAGCAAGTCAGTGGGTAAGTTTTGCTTTCATTTGTTGAAATCTGTCAGGTAAATTGGTAGTGTCTATTGCAAGCCACTCAAACAAGAGAGTCCTAAAGCAAAATTGCAAGTAGAAGCAAACGGAACTGCAGGTTTTCCATGAGTTTTTATCACACTTCATGTTCTGAAATCGTGCCTTGAAAATAGATTTCCTAGTTTCTAACATTTACTTGAATGCATTTGTAGCGAAACTGTCAATGTTTAAAAACCTGGTAAACAGAACCATCGAATAATCATGTTTTGACTGCAGTGGAGATGGTTAGCCTGGTAGCAGCTGTAGCAGTTCCTGCCTCATGCTGTCTGCGTTACCTCCCTTCTTGCTGGAGAGGCAGATAGAAAGTAAACTGCTGTGTGTTCACCCTGAGTTTTCAGATTAAGTCAACACTGACTTTATGTATTTACTATCCTGTATTCCCCCAGTAGAGGGAAGATTGCAAAACCAGAAAAGGCAGGTAAAGGCAGTGCTTGTTACAGTCTTTTTAAATAGGCCGTCTTCTTTTTCCGTTGTCAAATTCAGACTTTAAATGTGTTTAATAAGTGAAAGCGTTTAAAAACAAACAATCCCATGAGAAAAACAAGCCAAAGCTCAGACATGACCTCAGAGGATTTGCCACTTGTGAGACTGAGAATGTTTGCTCATGTTTGTAGGCTGCTACTATATGGGACTAGATCGTCTCCATTTTTTCATCATATATATTAAATTCCTAGTAAACCATACAAGGTGAGATCTTGTTCACTAATAGCAAACTGCATTTTCTGAACTTTAGGAATAAAATGTATGCTCTTCTAATAGTGTGGCAGTGTAAATAGTATCTATTTACCTTCTGAATCATGCTAGACTGTGTGAAGGGCTGGGCACTTCCACACTTCAGTGGAAATAAATGCCAAGCTGATGGGACCTCTCCTTAAGTTAGGCATATGCAGACACATTTGTGGCAAAGTGGCTTTCCTGTTTAGTAGCTTTTATGAAAACCTCTTACTTTAAAATTTTGATCTGAAAAATCTCTGATGTGGGACGCTGCATTCACTCTAGAATAACAAAGACAAACCAAACATGTTTGGTTTAGATTTATGCAAAATAATATCTTGTGTTTTATTGTACTTAGACTGCTGAATTATAATTTCAGCAGCAGTCTGTCATACTAATGGCACATAAGAATACTCAGGGCTCTGCAGGCCTTGCTACTAAGAAAAAATTTTTAAAGGTAATGAGTGTTGTAAAATACTTCAGAAAAATTAGAAAAGCAACAAAGAAATGAAACAAAATTTCCTTTTTGTTAAGCAAAAAAAGATGGCTTCTAAGGAGATTAAGAATAATTTTCCTGGATATATATCCATACAACGATTACAGAAACCTCTTTTCTTAAAAATGAAAAATTCTTTCAGGGTAAATGGCATAGTTTACAGCCTGCATATTCACTCAAACGATTCAGGATATTAGCTTAGGACTGTTGAGTCTTGCTTGCCAGGCTGATAGCAACTGAAAGCTTTTAGGTCAATGACTGGATGTTCAATGTGATGAAAAATAAATTGATGATCTTTTAGTGCTGCCTTTATTGAGCATGTTTCCACACACTGCTCAGACGCAAGATCATCAGAGGCCAAGGGCTGAATAGGCACTGTCTGTAAGGTATCTCCCAGTCCTTAACATAGGATTTGGATTAGGTTGGATTAGGTAGTAGTATTCTACCTAGGGATAGCTAATTGGTTTACTTCACAGAAATGTGTCTTTAAAAAAGGCAAAAAAAAAAAAGAAAAAAGGAGAAGCAGTGTTACCTTATTTACATCTCATGAGTACACATTTCTTAAAAACTCAGGCATTTTTTTAAGGTTCTTTATGTAGCTGCAAAAATTGAGGGACTATTGCAGTTTTCCCATGGTTTAAGAGGCTATAATCTAGAGTTTGCTGAAATCGTTGGACAAACTGGTATTTATTTTATTGGAATTAGTTTCAAAATTTTCTGTTCTTATCCTGCAAAATACTTATGTAGAATTTGTATTTCAGGTGGTGATGAGTGTTTATACTTTGTAGATATAGAGATAATTTTTATTTTTATTTGTTCTTGTCACCAAATTGCATAATTAGTTAGAGGTAGTATTTTTTTCACTTTTAATTTACATTGACTTTTCAGTAATTCTTCTCTGAGTGGACACGATGTGACTGGAAAAACTTTTTCAAAATTTGTCCTGTTTCTATACTCCTATTTCAGAGCTCTGGAAGACGTGGATTTATCCCAACATCAGTACAAACCTGTTGGAGCCCTCTCTGGGGGAATGAAAAGGAGGTTGTCCATTGCCATCTCCTTTATTGGAAACTCAAAGACAGTTGTTCTAGATGAGCCCACCAGTGGAGTAGATCCATGTTCTCGCCGTAACATCTGGGATGTTCTTCTGAAGTACAAAGCTGGTACAAAGCTCATACACATAATTTGTTGCTTATTTTCCTTTCTGGAGTTCTGTTTCAATACGTTTAAACAGGATAGAAGATATTATTGCTATTCAGTAATTAAATACATTAATTTCAGAGGTAACCTCTAATCAAACTTGGGAAATTTTAAAGCAACCAGATGAGATTATAAGAATTATCTGCTATCATCTCAAAGAAATATGCCCAATCTAACAGAAGATTGAGCTTGGTTCTGAGTCCTGTCCTGAAGTTTCTCTTCTCTTACCTTTTTCTTTTTTATTAGTGTCTCAAAATTATTTTCTGGTTTTCATTTCCTATTTTGCACATATCTGTGTATAGATGCACATATACACTTGTAATGAAGCTGGACTCATCAGTCAGTCTGCTACATTAAATTTTTAAATGCCATAAGGTTAAAACCTGATTGTGGGAAGCAAACTCTTCAGATAGTGAGCACTCAATTAGCTGTAATAACTCAACAGTGAATGATCCAGTGAAATAGACACCGTTATGTGGTTTTAAGGAATTTCTTAAACCAGCTTGAAGTTGTAATGGCTTAATACTGCTTACTATGTAAGGCAAAGCAAGTTTAGATCTGAATCTAACTCAGACTATCAATCTGAATTCAGGTTTTGTTTGTGTCTTGCGTTTATGTTTTGAAGGGATCTGAAACGTGTTCCCTTACAGTTAAAGGACCTTTGTGAAAGCAAGACGTGTTTTTCTAGAAACTAGGCTTTGTAGATATGTACCAATCTTTCTGATGCAGGTTGCACACTGATCTTTACTACTCACCATCTTGATGAGGCAGAGGTGCTCAGCGATCGCATTGCCATCCTGCAGCGTGGCCAGCTGAGGTGCTGTGGTTCTCCGTCTTACCTGAGAGAAACGTATGGCCAGGGACACAGTTTAACACTCATAAAAAAGGTATACTAAAAACGTACTGTACAGAACTTAACAGTGCCTGCCAAGTAGTAGCTGTGTATATTCTAAGGGAATTGTATGTCCCTGCCAGGAAGTAATATGTGATATAGATTATTAAAAAGCCAACAAAACGTGTTTTTGTCAGCTTTCTTGGTTGTTTTGGGTGGGTGGTGGTATAATAATAATAATTATAACTACTATTATTATTATTATTTATCAGAACACAATGACATCTTTGAAAATGATGAATTTCAATATTTAGCTGAAAAGGGCTTTGTTTCACTGCTTTTCATTCCTGGGAGGTCGTGTCTGTCTCCCAGGTTTGATGCAGTTTCATCAGTGGAAATTTTCTGGTATGAATTCTACTATCAAGTCCCATACCTCTGGTAACATTTAAGTTTTTGTGCATGATTATCTTTCTTTCTTCATAGCCCTCTGTGCTTGAAATCCAAGATCCTAAGCATATTTTTCGGGTCACATCTTTGGTGCAGACCCACATCCCGGAAGCCTTCTTGAAAGAGAACAATGGAACTGAGCTGACATATGTGATTCCAGAAAGGGCAGATAAAACCTCATTTAAAGGTCTTTTCCAGGCTTTAGACCAAAGCCTTCATCATCTACATGTGACTGGCTATGGCATTTCTGACACCACCTTGGAAGAGGTACTTATAGTTTTTCTGTGTAATGGCATTTTATTGGTTAGAGAATTCTGTAGCTTCCAGCTACTCTTACTGTATCTTTCATATTTCATAACAGTTTCTTGTAAGAAGCATGTTTTCTTAAAAAGCAAAACCAAAACTTCAGGCAAAATGTATTCTTTACAATTTTGCTGTACTGTTAATTTTAGTGTTTGCTCTACTACAACTTATTTCTGATTTCAAGAATCTGATGTGAACACCGAGGAACTGTGTAACACTTCAATGTTTGGTTTTGCATTTCCTTAAGGAAAATTTAATGTGTCATTGATTTAATGAGAACCACTGTTGTTGTCCTGGATCTCTAGCATTGGAATGAACTTTGAACTTGCAAGGCTGGAGGTTCAGTTCAGGGAGCTCTTGGGATGGAAAAAAAATTGCTGAGAATACTCTCTGACTTACAAAGTTCTAAAGCTTAGGACTTAGCAAAACTGCGTATGGAAATCTCTAAAGAGTATTTTGTGTGTATATCTAGAGAGAGACCGACAGACACAGGTATAGCTAGACGTATATATGTGTGTATGTGTATATACCAAACGGACCAGAGAAAGAGAGTCTCTTATGCTTCTTCATCACTTCTGAATTTAGCTCTGTGTAACAGCAATATCAGTGGAAAGTTATTTTCCTTGGGCTGTTTTTTAACCCGACTTTAACTTCTAAATATCAGGATTGCCTAAATCACCACTGTTCAACTTCTGTATTATAGATCCTTTTGAAAGTATATTTTTTCCATGTCTTGAAGTGATGATAGGAGACTAACATCAGGATTTTTTGATGCACAAAACACATCTATTTTTATTTGATCGCACAATGCATTTGATATCACTTTGTGAAACTGATTTCTCCAGTGATTACCTATAGTGTTAAAGACAGATAAGGTTGGACTGTTTTCTAACAGAGTATTTAATATACTCTAGAAAAAACCCCACAAAAATAATGAAACGCAGATTCCTATAGAGTGACTTTTTTATATACAGCAATAAATGCTTAGTATAGAAAAGGGGTGTAACTCTTCTCCATCTATTCCCTGGAAATGTATGAGATGATATGGTGTAGTACTGTGGTGAGCCGGAGTACAAGATCCCCCAGGGAAGATGCCTGGTTTTATGAAGATGATACACTTTAAGGCCTGTCAGACATCACTTATGCATTGTATTTTTGCTGCGTGAGCTATACATATGGGAATTAATGGGGTCAGATATTTGAAACTGCATCAGCAGTTTTAGGTTTGTTTTGCAGGTTTAGAATTGCTTATCTTATATAATCTATGGAAAAAATATAAACAGCACCCCAATAATGCAAGTAAACCTAAAATGACAGTTTTATAAATGAATATAGATGAAATTTATTGAACCAATATGCCACCACATGGAGCTGCAGTGTCCTGAAGTGGTGCAGTGGGAGATGTCCTTAGGACTGTACAGATTTGCTACATAGGTTTTTAGGACCCTCCTAAGCATAACAGATCTGATCTGGCACATTTGTTTTTAAATGGCAGTCCAAAGAATGAACTACCAGCCAGTATGTGGTTTCCTTTGAAGTTAAGGTCTATACAACAGAGTTATTTATAAAAAAAAAAAAAAAAGCTCATCTCTTCTAAATGACCCCAGTACATAAAGCTAGTGTGGCAAGCATTTGCTATGACAAGTAGGGAAGTGGGGAAGGAGAAAAAAAAAATAATCAGACAAGTTTAATAAGCATTTTACGTAATGT